ATACTCTGGGCTTTCATCTAAACTTAAGGCGGTTTTAAGTCTCATTTTAGCAAACCTTATTTTAATCTGAGATGCACACAAGACAGAGCAAGTAACAAGCTGACCTGCTGAATTTGTCTGCTTGCTGTAGAGTGTTCAAAACCAAAACTATGTTCTAAACCCATAAGGATTAAGGTACTGTAAAATTTGCTTTTACTGAAGAGTTTTCTGGGGTTTTTTTAGGAGCTGAGATAGTCCTATGTCAGTCACTTCTTCCCAAAAAAAAATTAATTAATCAATGTGTCTTAATTCACTTACCTTTATCTGGATGATTCAGAAGCATGATTCGTCTATGAGCTTCTCTAATTTTACTTCTGTTGGCTGTAGGGCTTTAAAAGAGAGAGAAAAACTGACTTAAGGGAAACTCTTAAAATCCCCCAGATCTTTAAAAGATGTCTCAGAACAAGCAATCACTCTCTCATCCATAAACTCTTCAGCTCTTTTCCTATTACTGATGCGTAGCATGTACGTGTTGGGAAGGATTTCTAAGGTTTTTCCAAAATACTGTATGCTGAAGAAGACATGCCCCAGCAGCCTCATATGTTGGGCAACATTCACACAGTTGAAAACAGACAGAACAATGTGGTAACATTTTTACTGGGACAACTTTCTAAAGGCTGGAGGAAAAAAAAAATTAAAATTTGCTCTTGATTTATTTAAAAAACCAACAACAACAAACTGTTCCTATACAAACCTCAGTTAGAAGTCGCCTTCAAATACAAGTGATTCTTATTCTTTATCTTATTAGATAAATTTGTGGTTTTGGTCTTAAGTCTCTCAATTTTGGCAGGTGTAGCTACCATACTCATATCTAAGATACTTTAGAGTAAGTGATGAATTTACTCCACACGCAAGAAGTGGGTCTGCAGCACCATCAACTGCATCTATCTGAAATTCACCAGCCGTGGCAGGAAGGACAAGCAAACAGCACAACTGTGTTCCCCACACCAAGTGAACCCAAGGCTTCTCGAAAATAGCCTGTTTACCAGGAGCTGTACATGGCTTTGGAATGCGCTAGGGAGCTGCAGATGGATGGAAGTCCAGCTAGAGTTAGCTTTAAGCAAGCTAACACACAGCAAAGAATCCCAGTAAGTACAGCAAATCTTGAAAGGCCACTTCATGCTGCCTAGCTTAGCAGTGACATTCCCAGGGGAAGCTGAGCACAGGACAGTCTTAAGCATTGAGAATTATGTACTTTTCAAACCAGGCCAGCAACTAGATAACACTGTAGCCTCCTTTTCACCTTTCATTTGTAAAATTTCCTTTTACCTCACTCCTAGTATTAAAGCTGCTTCTCGTTTAGTCATTTTGGGTTCAAATCCACCTCTGTAATAACCACTGAAGGCCTGAAAGAGAAATCGTTGTTAGTTTAAAAAACACTAATTTTTATCAGTTATAACACCTTGTTATTGCTTTAATAGCTGCTGAGCTTTTAGTTTGTAAGAATACAGCGAAGCTTCTTTTGCACTTGTAATAAGAACTTCAGCTGAAGTACAGTATCATTATTTAAATGAGTGCTTAAACTTGCCAAAACAAGTTCTCTACTAGTCAACCATGGCCAGAATCGCTGAGGTTGTTATTACTGACAAAAATATGTTTAGTATTAGAAAAAAATACAGTACTGCTATACAGAGACAACAGTGTCTAGTTATTTCACCAAGTAAACTTTTCAATAAAAAGGTGCTACTGGCAAAACAAAAACTTACAGGTTTTGGTAGATTCTGAAGTGCCTGTTTTACTTGTGGCTCCATTTGCTTCATGGCTTTCAGCGCATAGCGACCTTGAAGAAATCAGTGTTGAACAAGGCTAAGTATAAAGTTTCATAAACATTTAGCAATTCAATGCAACTGGCAACTTGTGGATTAGAATGTCGAATAAACTTTTTGGGGATGTAAAAAAGTGAGAACTTTGATCTTTTGTTTAATTACAGACATGTGTCTCCATACAGGCTCTCCCAAAAGTGTCCTGTATCAGCTATTAAACTACGGGAAAATTCATCAGTACCGAAGCAGGCCATGATAAGCACAACTGGGTGTTCAGGGGGCTCCCATCATCTACAAACCTGCAAATCCAGCTGCCGCTATGGTCAGGCCAACCGCCACGTACTGGCCTACACAGGGAAGACACAAAGTATTCGTTTACCACAGGAAAAGAAAAAAGCCCACCCGGCGATCTCCGCAGCGGGTCAGACGAGCACGTACATTGAAAACCACACGAGCAGAGGAAAAGCGGCCATAACACGACCTACTCCGGCTGCGCTGCTCTAAGCGACCGCAGGGACACAGCGAAAGCAGCGCGGCTCTTGCTGCCAGCGGGGCTGGAAGTCAGGCGCGCCCACGAGACACGGGAACGCCGCAGCTGCGGGGCACGAGGGAAACCCGGCCCGGCAGCGCCGTCCCACGCGGCGGCCCGGCTTTAAGGCCCGAGGCACCGGGGCCGCGGCCTGTGCTGGGCAGCGCCCTCTCCGCGCGGCCCAGGGCACCGCGCCCCTCGGCACCGCGG